CCCCAAAACCCCCAAAACCCCAAAACCCCATTGGTTAATTTATCAATATATTTGAAGTAATAATAAATTAGGTCTTAATTATAATAAATTTCTCTTAAAATTTAGATATTAACAATGGAGAAAAGTTAGGTACTCAAAAATGACAGTAAAGATCCAGAAATAATAGATAAGCAATTAGAAAAATCATTCTAGCGCTGCTATTCTAAATTTCTAGACGCAATAAACTCAACAGTTATTTAATTTAGCAAGTCGAGGAAAAACGTAGAGAGCTATTTTGAGGATCATTACTTTGAATTGTGCAAGTAGATCATGTTTGATCAGGAAAATTACAAACCAATAATAAAATACATAGAGAATTTAGAGGATAATAAAGGCACTGTGTGCTCTAAAGTAATTGAGTTTGGTGACACTGTGTGGCTTTGTAAAGATTGCTGCCTTCATCCTACATGTATTATTTGCTAGGAATGCTTTGAAAATAGCAAGCACATAGGGCATTAAATAACAATGAGCAGAGATACTTAAGGCAATTGTGACTGTGGAGATATATAGTCCTGGAAGAAGGAAGGTTTCTGTAGAGATCATTAAGGATATAATGAGGCAATAATCGAGAAACTCATTAAAAAGATACCTGAAAATATGAGAATAAGTACTTAAAAAGCATTCAACAATATAGCTAGACAACTAAAACAACAACTATTGTTTTTCACGAATAAGGATCCTAAAAAGAATAAAATTATCTATATAGTGGTTTAAATCTTTGAATTTATAGAGTGGTCAATAAATCTTTCTCCAGCGTACATAAGTTTCTGGAAAAATGCCCTAGATAGTGAATAAAACAGAGAATTAAACAATTTAGAAAAGCCTCAGCATCACACTTGTACTTTTGAATAATATAAAAAATCAGAGATAATGGTAGATCCCCAGGAGCCTTAAAAATGTTCTTGCAGTGTTTATGATATTATATTTACTCGAGATTTTAGTGGTTATGAATAGAAGTAGGAAGTTATCTCGAACTTACTCATCTTACTTGCCTAAAATTATGACATTAAATACTAATTAGCACTTTCTTACTTCAAAAACTATGAGAAGCTATATCTTGATGAAGGTAGATTTTCTACTAATAAACTTGCTGAAATCAATACCTAGATAATCACTGTTGATATAATTTCTATTAAAACAATTAAAGAAGAACCAATTAGATAACATATTATTCAACTTTTAACTAATTCTATACAAAGGCTGATTGAATTTGAAGTTGATGAAGATGAAGATTCAGTTGAGCAAAATTTCATATTTATGCTATTAGATGATCTTCACATGATGGCATTACCAAGGACCGTAAATTACTTAGCCAATCAAACAGAATTTATTGAGGCTTTTATCCAAATATATCAGAAATTATATAATCAAGCAGAAGTGACAAAAGTAGATGAGCATGTCGAGAATGAAGATGATGAGATAAATAACTAGTTAAGAGATCTAGATCTTGAGATTATGGTCTTAATGAAGACTTACTTATCAGGTGTGGATTATAGTAATGAAAATAGAAACATATCTTTGCTTCATAAATTCATTGAAACTTTACAATAAATTAATTCCAATCAAAACTACGACCCTGAAGTTGGTAGTTATATACTTCCAGTTCATAGAATGTTTGGGTTTTATTTTACAAGATATTTGATTACTTAAATTCTCAGAACTTAGACAAATGATAAATTTGATGAAAAATCTAAAGCTAATTCCTTTATTTCTATGAGAAACATCTTAAGTGATATAATAATAAAAATTAATAATCCCTCGAATGAAAATAAAAGTCTTGATAATATACTCTATGAACTTGTGAGACCTCTCAACTTTTCAGTTAGATTTCTATTTGAAATAAAAAGTAGAATGTGGATTATGAATGGTGAAGTTATTGAAGATTTATTTGATACTATCTATGCATAAAAAACCAATCATCTTTATCAATATCTAGCTTTATACTAATCTATCATATTTTGTGTTGATGATAAAGGAGCTTTTATGGACAAGATAATTCAAGATTTGAACATTTTTAGCTTAGTAAATAAGATCAGATAACTTAATGATGGCATCATTAATAATGAATTCGAAGAGTAAAAAGTAAGAGTTTACCTAAATTTAGTTCTAAATTTCATTATAAAGATTTATCAGACTGAAATATCACTTTTGTATCCTTTGATCTTTCAATATAAGAAATTGGTAAGAAGTAAAGTTGATGAATCTGATTCGGATGAAAGTAGTGAAATTGGAAGTGATATTGAATCTATTCCTGATGAGGAGTTTGAAAATTACTTTTAAATTGATGAAAATTACTAGTAAATTGATGAAAATTACTAGTAAATTGATGAAGTAGAATAGAAATCTGCTATTTTCAATGAAGAGATTCAATAATCTTATATCTAAGTAGCTGCTCAAAGGCAGAAAATTTCTGAGATTGATTAAATAAGGACATATTTCAGGAAAGATCTTTAAAAAGAGCTAATACATAATTTGATCCTAAATCTTGGCAAGAGCAATATGAGCCAAATAAAAAAGAAATCTGATCGATTATATACAAACTCTAGGGAATTTGAAAAAGTACTCTCAGACATATCTATAAAAGTTTAGAACTCTCAAAACCAAAGAGGTATTTAGTTCAATCTTAAAGAAGAGTACTTCAAGGAGTTTGATCCATATTACTACTAAATGCATGAATATTAACATCAAGCACTTGAGAATATTACAAAGCTCAAAAATGAAAGAGACTTAATGCATGAGTATATTGGCAGTATGGACTATGATTTCTCATTGCCTATTAATGAATCTGTAAGATAGGCAATATGCGAAAGTAAACTTCTAGAAATATTTATAAATTTTATTTTGCTCTGGGGTAACATAAATTAATCTTAAAATAAGTTCATGAATGAGTAAATTGGACAAGATAGCTTGAAATTACTAGCAATCACCACGAAATCTATATAAAACATAGAGCAAACAAAAGTTGATTCAATATTAAACATACTAATAGTTTATAAAGATAAATTGGAAGAAAGCTTCAAGAATCTTGAGAATAAGAGTTAGTATTTGAAGAAAGATTTGTATATAATAATGAAACAAATTGAATAATTAGATTAATCGATTAAATTTGCATTGCTATCAGAAAATAAGCCACAAAATTAATTAAAAGAGGAAGAAAAAAATTAAAGCAATAAATAAAGTATAGATAAAAAGGAAGCTGCTAGACTAAAAAGAGAAAAAATAATGATGAAATTTTAAAATAAAAGGACTACTTTCATTAAAGAAGCTGATGCTATTTAAATAGACATTTAGGTAGAAGAAGTTAAGGGATATGATTAAGAGCCAAATTTTATTGATAAGAAATGCCCTGAGCCATATTAGCTTGAAGAAGATGATAAGATACACTGCACGCTTTGCAGGGAACAATTAAACTCAAAAGATTTTTTCAAAGAGCCTTTTGGCTAATTTGCTTATATAGCAAAGAGTAAGTTACTATACTACGCCATGAACTAAACAATTAAAGCATAAAAGAATAAGTACGGCCAATTCGATAGAAACAATGAAGACGATGAGTGGGAAGAAGAAGATGAGTAGCATTTTGCCAAATAAAGCTTTAATCATTTAAGAGTACTGTAATTAAATTACCTTGATAGTGAGTCTTACACAGGTGGAACACTAATTAAGTGCCCTCATTTCGCTCATTTGACTTGCCTGGAAAACTACTAAAAATCTCAGAAATTTGATCAAATTATGGCGGAAGAAAATGAAATAGTAGGCATTAATCCTCTAACAACATTCTAGTGCCCTTTGTGCAAGTCTTTAGCTAATATACTATTTCCAATAGAAAATCTCTCTAATTTCCAAGGAGGTATTAATGAGTTAATGGAAAATAAAAAGATCTTAAAATATTATAAAAATCTTATAGAATAAATAATGAGGAATCAAGTATCAGCTAATAAAAATCTCTAAATCCAGGATATATTTGACCCCAATAAGAGTCTTAAAGCAATATAATAATTTATTGAACATAGACTAGCTCTCATTAATCTCAAAGGTTACCAAGACTTTATAAATGGAAAATTATCTGGAATATAAGAGTACAGAACCATCTTAAGAGTGGCCAAGAATATTATAAGAATTTAACAGCAAGGTGCTGAGTAGATTGCTGAAAATAATGCATTTATAGCAGCTCTAGATAAAAATTTAGAAGAAATTTACAAAAAATTAGATTCTTTTAAAGTTTTTGATGAGGATATTACCAGCTACTGTTAATAAGCGTTATTCTATACTTTTCTCCAGACTAATTAAGAAGAGTTTAAAAACAGCATTGAAAACCTTATAATAAGATTCTTGCACCTAATCAAATATCAGGTTGCTATCAAATTCATTCATTAGAATTAGTTTGAATCTGTAAAAAATGCAGAAGAAATAATATAGTGGCTTTAAGAGGTTTTATAAACAACAGAAAACCAGTAAAATTATCTAGATTTCGAGGCATAATCATTAGCACCTTACTAAAACTAAATTACTGCATTTCTATAAATGGTAGATATAAATTAATCAATAAGTCACTTAAATAAAGGCATTCCTCTCATATCAGAGTCTCATAGAAAGAATGATTAATTTGCTGAGGCAAATTATAATCTCTTTTTCGAGTATATAAATTCTAAGTAGTAGTCAAAGATTAGTCTTATCCCCTAGATTTAGCTGCTAATGACAAAAGAGTATCAATTTAATTTCATTTATTTACCTGAAGAATTTCAGTAAATGATTCTTAAATTCTACAAGCAAATGTGCCGATGGTGTAAGACCACACCGAAATAAAGTGTTATTTGCTTATTATGTGGGGAGCTGCTGTGCTTTGTATAAGATTGTTGCATGGATATCGATAACAAAAAAGACGATGAGGGGGAGTTAACCTTCCATGCCAGACAATGTGAAGGTGGATAAGGAATATTCCTAGACAATCAAACTGGAGTTATTTTCCTTATAGAAAAAAAGAGAAACAGCGAAAAATCATCTATTTATCTCAATAAATTTGGAGAGCACTATTCCACGAAAATGAAGAAATATGATTAATTTAAGTTGAATGATGAATTTGGTGGCAGATAGCTGTTAGAAGAGTACAGGAGAATGTATATAGATTTCACTATATGCAATGCTATTGTTAAGGACAGAGCCATTAATAAGAATTACTACGGAGTTGGAAGAATCTGATAATTAAAAGAATTAATTAGTTTTAATTTCATTAAATTTTTTTAATAATTATACTACCCAATTAGAGGATTGGGGTTTTGGGGTTTTGGGGTTTTGGGG